GGCTGGCTCTGCACAACTTGGTGGAATACTGCTACATGATAGGGCAGATGTGGTTAGTGCCTTGTGGGAGAGCGTGTACAATTCGGAGGAGCAGATGGATCACCAGTCTGGTGAGATTGATGCAGTTGGGGGTGACGAGAGGTTCTGGCAGAAGCTCGAGGGTCAGAGGAAAGGCAAGACGGATGATTAATCAGAAAGCTACTGGCACCAATAGTATTGTAACTCTTCGCTGGCTGCTGAAGATGGGGACGGAGTGCTTATGGGAATGCCTCGAGTGCTGTGATGTCGGTTCTTGAATCAAATCAAATCAAATTTTATCAGTGACAAAAATAAACTTTTAAAATAATAATAATCTTATGCTCCAACACCAAACAGAAATACAAACAAAACAAAAAGTGAAAGAACAAAATGGAACAGAAATACAAACAAAACAAAAAGTGAAAGAACGAAATGGAACAGAAATGAAAACAAAAAGAACAAGAAGAGTTGTGGAATCTGACTGGGAAACTAAGAGCATAACTTTTCCAGTCCAGACAGTTCTATTAAAATTATGGAATTATACAGTCTCCAGTTTTTAGGCCGTATCAACCTCAGAGCTATACTGATCACAATCAGTATGAAACCACCCTTCTGAGGATTGAACCCAGACCCTTGTCACAGCAGGTAAACCAACTAACCACTATGCCAATACAGCTTTCACTTCTTTTGTCCCACTGGGTTGTATTCCAAGGTCGTGCCTCTCTGTATTTGTCTTGCACGTCCCAAGTGGCTTGAGTGATTGAGTTTTCAATCATCATGCTGAATTCAGCAACACCATCGATTATTTCTTGGTCCTGCCATCAGCCCGGATGTTCTCCTGTAGAAGACCTTGTAAAGTTTAGTCTTGCTGCATTCTCATTAGATGGCCAGACCACTGTTTTTCTGTCTTTGTCCTTCAAGCATGGTATTGTTGAAACCTTCTAATGCTGATAGGGACATGGTCTCTTCTTGTGATGCTGGTGACCTTTTGGAGACAGTGCATAAACAGTCATTATTTGTTTGTTTGTTCCAGTGTCTGCTCATTGTCCAGGTTTGGCACAGACAGAGGTGAGGAAAATGCTATTAAATTATTTAGGAAACTTTTGGATGTCTGAGTAGTGGGGCTAACAGATGGCAGTGCTCTCAAGTAGGCAAAAACAAGTCGGTGATTCATGAAATGGTGGTGAATCGGCAACCTTGACAAGACAATAAGAGCTTCATGTCAAAAGACGTGTTATCAGACATGAACATTATACAGGTAGCCAAGGAAGAATAGTAAACCAACACAGAACTGGCATTATCGGCACCACATGCTTGGGGGGGGAATATAATGCTAAATGTTGAAGTAAGAATCAACATCACAGCACTCTGGACACCCACAGAAGTGCTCCGTCCCCATCTTCAGCAGCGAGCGAAGAGTTCCAATTCTGATGGCGTCAGATTTTGAGGGTGATAAAGAAGAGGGGATCTGAGCGTTTATGGACTTGCCCGATGTGCAACAGAGGATGGTCCAACAATTGACTCATTTTCCTTAACAAACCAAGTACCGAAAAACAAAAGATGCCAATCTGTTTGCATTTCTTGTTCATTTAAAATGATAACATAACAACAACAAAGCTTTGGATTTGATTTATTTAGGTGTGTAACATCATAAATACAGACAATAAGAGTAAAGTCAAAGCAAAATAAAAATCCTGTATCTATCTTGCTGCAGATAGCCTGACATTATTGACTTTCTTACAGTTTTGAAAACATGGTTGCAAAACAAACCTTGACCACTGGTGTTAGAACTAGGAAATCAAGACTTGTCCTGTTGATACAGTACTATAAATCTGTGAATGCCTCCAGCCAACAAGCCATGACAGTGTATAGAAGCAAATAAATGTGGCACTGGTGTCAAACATGAAAGTTACAATTTAAATGTGACTCATTTAAACGTGACATGGAGCGCTGACATTTTTGTGTGTGGCCAAGATGTTGCATCACTGCTAATTCAACCATGCAAAACTACATTCATGTACGAAGTATTTAATACAGAACATGCCCAGGCACATTTCTTCATGAGCTCCACTACAACTTGATAAAATGTTTTGTGGATCATCAGACATTTGTATGTAAGTTCAGCCACAATAATATGGTTCAAACCTTGGACAACAAGTGACTGCTTAACACCGTGAGTGCACTCCAAACCCAAGCAACGTGCATACAAGCATACAGCTGAAAATAGAACAATAATTCCATAGCAAAATGTTTTGATTACACACACACTAAATGAATCATCCTTGAGATAACAAACTACATACTGAAAATGGATTGTATTAAACTATAAATATTACTTTATGTTTAAAGAAGAAAATAAAGAATACGTGCATTTTGTAGATATGGGTGGGAATATCATGAAGAAGAAAACAATTATTGATATATCAACAGAGGCAAGTGTTACAAGATCATTCATCAAAACCATGTGCACCAGACAAATGAGACGTAATCTGAAGTACAACAGAAGAAAATGAACAGACAATAAAGTCTTAATGGGCATCGATGAGTAGTTGGCCATCATATAATGCCTGTCCCATCACAGCAGGTTGGAAAGCCACTCAGTCCTTTGTAGATTCCCTGATCATGTATTTTCATATTTCTCTGACTAAACATTTGACAGAACTGGCAGTTTTCACAGACTATACAGCTGGGCAGATTAGTAAGGATTATCATCACAGTACTCTGTACAGATCCATAGATGCTCAGATCTCCTCCTGAAAAGCTCCACAAGTGTAAAACGACTGATGACGCCTGTTCTATGTTGGTTAATGAAACGTCTTGCCCCCTTAGTGAAATGTTCATTTCTTGCAGCTCCCGTCTGCACCCCCATGTCCATCAGTCCAGACAGGGATACACAGTCATGTCCTTTGGCGGCTCGTCATCACGCTAAATGCTACGCATGGCATTGATAACAGTGCTTCTGTCCAGTACTGGACCAGCCATCGCAACAGTAGTGTCAGAAAGATAATCTGCATGCTCATTCCCTTGAACACCCTCATGACCTGGCACAAAGATGAAAGTTAAGACAGCTTTTTGCGAAGTGCTTTGTTCTGCAATCCATTCTTGCCCGATAAACCAGTCTGGATTTTTTAAGCATATTCATCGAGTCACTAAGAATGCATACATGTGTGTGATCTCTTGAGTACCAAGCCATAGCCCTTGTTACAGCCATAGTCTCCATTGTAAGGCTACTAGTTGTAACAGCAAAGGCGCCATTCATCTTCTTGATGGTTTTCCCCCTTGAGCTTACTGTGAATGCCTATGCACTTTACTTGCGTCAAATTATTGACCCATCTGTGTAAACTATAGCATCACCTTTATCTGTGTTTTTGTCACTCAGTGTTCTGACTAAAGTGACAATGCCAGGAATCTGCTCTCTACAGCTTCCATCAAGTGTGAGTGGATTGTAATGTTCTTGTTTGGTGCAGGAGGCATGGGAACCATTCAATTCTTGAATTAATGACACCTGGCAAGAGATAAGGGTAATTCCCAGCACCACTGTCTGTAATCAGCCAACAACAGCTGCCAGTCAACCAGACCAATCTGATCAGCAATAAGACGTAGAAAACTAGTCCACCACACACAACCTGCCCGGACATTACAGCCCATGTTCTCTCCCACAGTTCCAGACAGGGAAACAAGCCCATGAAGGACAACTGCTAAACAAGGACTTTTTTAAACTCTTTTATTTTGACATCTGAAGTATGTCTCATTGCCTGGATCCTCCCAAACAATAAGGCATGGTTTTATCAGACAAGATTATTTTTGCTTGTCCAACCACTGGCTTGTTTAACTACCCAAGAACTGCTGAATGCAATAACAAGTACAAACATGTTTCTAAATGCAATAAACTATAGACATGTTACTTGATGCGAACAAACAGTACAACAAATGTTCCGAAAGCAATTCTTATGCCAACACGAAACAAAGAACAAGTGCCTTACAGAAGCAGACAGTGCAATGTAATGGCACAAGAGAAATAGTACTCCCAGTTATGTGTGTAGGGCTAGACTTTTAGACATAGTACATTCAATCATAACAGGTAGATACAACTGCTAAAAGGAGGAACATTTGGTAAGCTAATTTATGACAAATGTGATCAGGAGTTTAAGTAAAAAAAGAAAACTAGAAGAATATATGTGAATGTGTATCCTGAATTCAACAAATATTTTGTTAGTCGCATCTGACAATGTTTGTCTGTGAATACTTCTGCACTGCATCAGAGTGAATTTGTTTTCTATACAAGTATGGAGACATCAAAAGGCAAAAAATACTTGTACTACCAGTTGCTTGTTCAACTAATGTGGAAAACAATACACACCACCTGACAACAAGGGAACAGGACAAGTGATGAATACATTCTGTTCAATAAAAGCAGTGATGACAGAAATATTTTCAGAATAATTACAACAAATGTTTAAAGGACCCTTTGCATGCCTTCAGATGTATTAGGCTATTTTATAGACCATTTGGCACTTGTGACACGGTCAACATCATGATGGTAGTAATTTTCATTAATAAACCAACTGGATTCAGCTGTGTTGTCATCATCATCATCATCAGGTGCCTTGCCGACTGACATGTTGCCATAAAAACTGATAACATTAGCAATGAAAACAAGACAACAAAAATAAACAGTTGATATAACCCGGTCAATTACATTCAATACATACAGACTTCTCTCTGATATAACATTAACTAGTGTCCTTACCTCAGCTATAAAATGCACTAGACTCTGAAAGAAAGGAAGAGGAGTGCTCTACTATTGAAATCATAAGGTTACAGTTTGATGTCACCTCTCTCTAGCCACGTGTTTCATTCAAATGTGGAAACAAATGCCAGCTAGCACCTTCCACACATTGACAAGGCCAGTGTTGCTACAGAAATGTTGAGTAATTAAAAACCTAAATATGATAAGCAATAACCAGAAACCAACAGATATTTTAATGCGCAGCAGGCCTGAGCAACTTGTCGAGAACACGCAGCCCATTTTCTTGATATTCTGATCGCAGCAGCCAAAATTCATCTTTGTCCTTCATAATGTCAGCTAATACAGATCCACCCATAAAGACCATGTGTTTTCTGCGAGGAGGGTCCTCTATGCGGATCTTGAATTTCTGAAAATATAGGTAATATCTTAATGTCATGACGGCTTACTGACACAGGCAAACAAATTCAAATATAGTTCTATTGCTATGCCATTCCATCTTTTTAAGTACATAGCAATATGTAAACTTCTTCATACTGAATCTTGTGTATTCTAAACATAGTCCAATCTACATTTAAAACAAAAGTAGCTTCCTTTAAACAGTGATACAGCTAGAAGTAGCCAGGTGAAGAGTACCACCTCAAGTAACAGTGTCCACATTCAGGAAGCTAAACAAAGAGTACCAACTCATGTAACGGTGTCCACATTCAGGCAGCTAAAAAAAAAAAAAGAGTACCAACTCAAGTAACGGTGTCCACATTCAGGCAGCTAAACAAAGAGTACCAACTCAAGTAATAGTGTCCACATTCAGGCAGCTAAACAAAGAGTACCAACTCAAGTAACAGTGTCCACATTCAGGCAGCTAAACAAAGAGTACCAACTCAAGTAACAGTGTCCACATTCAGGCAGCTAAACAAAGAGTACCAACTCAAGTACAATGTCCACATTCAGGCAGCTAAACAAAGAGTACCAACTCAAGTAACAGTGTCCACATTCAGACAGCTCAACAAAGAGTACCAACTCAAGTAACGGTGTCCACATTCAGGCAGCTAAACAAACTAGTGCAAGCTAATGAGATTGAATTGGAAAACAAATGTAAAAGAGACTGCAAAACTTTCAGATTGTAGTCATTCACCTATTATTTTTTTTTTTTTAACATGTCTTGTAGGGAAGACTTAATTATCTTCAAATACATAAATAAGACAGAATTCATGTGCTATATGTCAGTTAATCTGTATAACATATGTTTCAGTAAACTAGCAGAATATATTATTTCTCAAATAAATATATTTAAAAAACCATGTTATATCTAAAATGTTCTTTGCCAACTTTCTTTTTCAATTTCAATCAACACAGCATTTATCAAAAAAACACTTGCTCTTATATTTTGTAGATAAGTTTTTACAGTGTATAAAAAGGTAGCCATTTTCATGCCTCAAAAGTCACAGGTTGACAGTATTACTCTTTAGTGTCTTTGTTTACAGGTTATTAATAGTTCTATAATACTATAAAATTCTGATCATGACCTGAATATTTAGAGCAGTCAAAACTGTAATGTACTTACTGACAAAGAAGTAGTATTCCCTTTCAAGACTCGTTCCAGATACAGCTGTTTGATCTCCCTCTCTAACCGACTTGGCAAGCCAGGGTACATGGTGGAGCCACCAGACAGCACAATGTGCTTGTAAAAGTCAGCACGCAGATCCATGTCTGCTGCCTGAATTGTGTTGAAGAGAAGCTCAGCCACACCTACACTGTCGACGTTAATAAGATGAGGCTGGAAAAGGGCTTCTGGAGCTCCAAATCTTTCACCACCAACCTTAATCACTCGGCCATCTGGAAGCTTTCAATAACAACAACAAAAAAGTGTGTTAACTAAATCAAAACATAAGAGACTAATCTGACACAAGAAAACTCATGAGGTGACAGAAAACCAATGAGGTGACACAAGAAAACCCATGAGGTGACACACAAAAACTCACTGTTAACCCCTAATATTTAACCAAATAAGATTTAGAAACGCAGTTTCACAATTCTTATTATCTTTGTTAGATTTCAGGTGCAGGTAATTTGGCAGCAGTTCCCTTTGCATTGATTTTGAATGGAATAAGCATGATACCATTCAATACCCAATGGCAAACTACTGAACATGTTGAATCAGGAATTGACATCACAGCACTCGGGACACTCCCATAATTGCTCAGTCCCCCATCTTCAGAAGCGAAAAGTTCAGATTCTGATGGTACCAGTAACCGTCTGATTGTTTACCCATCTCATCCTTCTCCTGAGTGTTTAGCGTCGGCCAGATCCCCTGGTAACTCCTCACAGTGCCATTCTCCTCAGACCGTAATTATCTATCTGCATCTCTGCACTGTTCACCCATTGCCAAAGGGCTCTCACAATATCTAACTTGTCATACATCAGTTCACCACCAAATGGTGCAGAGCCAGCCAGTCTATCTGCCTGCTCATTTTCCAACACATCGGCATAACCTAGAGAAAATATCCAAAGGATGCTAACTACCTGGAACCTCTGAAGTGATGTTTGCCACTCACACGAAGCATGCCTACTGAACATAAAATTGCCAAGTAAAATCAAAGCTAATAAATGCTGAGGCAGGTGTGCAAACTCATCTAAAGGATATCCTAGTAACTTTAACTCTAGAATGATAACAGAGCTTGACTGCTGGCAGGATGCTGTATGCTGAGGTACCAAGGCCGCAAGCCCAAGCCATCAGAACAGTCTCCAGACTAGGGTTTTCTTCTTTTGCATTCATCTGTTGGCCCGTTTAAAGCATGACTGTGATATTTATGCCTTTCAGCCAACACATTCGACTCCTGAAGGAATTATTTGACCAGGTTAACCTTCCCAGAGACTGGGATTTGTATTCTAGCTCTGAGATAAAAGTCACAACAAGAAATGGATCATATTTTTCAAAAAAATATGTGGTGGGCTTATACTACAGCCAGACTCTTCTATCTTCTTCTTAAAGTCCATGCCTTGTTGCATTGGTAGTCATGTCTATCCACAACCTTCTGTCTCATGTACTTTCAATCTGATCTGACACAGATGATCGTTTATGCCATGATGTCAATCTGTCCAGCATCTTCTCTCTTGGTCTCTCTCTGCACCTCTTCCCCTCCAGCGTTCCCACTGTTACGATGTACTCCAGCTTTCTCCTTCTCATGACGACCAAAAAATATAGATTGTCTCCTCCTGATGTCGGTAATCTCTTCGCGAGTCAGTTTCTTCCAAGACATCTTCATTACTTTTTTTTTCCACCATCGTCTATAAAACCACATCTCCATAGTTTCAAAAAAAAATTTGCACTAATCAACCAACTGTCCATGATTCACTTCCGTATATCAGGATAGAATTTATAAAGCTTTAAAGAATTCTCTCTCTCTCTTGTCTCACATGATACAGACATACTGTAAAGAATATTCTTCATTGTGTAAAATGCTACCTTTGCTTCTTCAACACTTTGCTGACCAGCAGACTAGTGCACTAGTGTCTCTCATTAACAAGGCTGTTAGGAGATTTTGATAATATCACTGGCTTTCTAATAACATTCACTACAAAATCAAAAACGAGCATAGGGTTTTGAAACCTTCAGAGCATCATTACAAATCGTCGCTACACAGAAAAAAAGATATTTTATGCAAATATGTCACATGAACATGCTGGCCATCTTGAATTTGTTTGGTTATTTATAGAAATTTAAGATGTTTTAAAACCATATTTTTTTGCCAGTTTTTAGTGAATCTGTTCAATGTCACTTCAATCAAATGTTGGGGACATGGTTGACGATATATAAAATAAGCTCAATATGAGCAATTATTTAACGTTGACCGAATATTTCAACATTAAAAGCTATTATAAAAATATGAATGAACTAAAACAAAAATTCTTTTCATTTTTATTTATCTCTCATGTTACAATAAGCATTATTATAAAAGCTCCTCTAGTTGAAGTCTCAGCTACTTCCTTCATTAACTGGAGCTAAAGCTGTAGACCTGTGCAACAGTCTTTGTTAAGAACGTAGATAATCCTCAACTGTGCGGTATAGCTTCAAACCGGTTTTTGAGCATAGATGTGTATTGCAGTCTGGGCAGTACATACAAGTCTGGCTTCTTTTACCTGCAGCCGTAACCACTATACAGTCTGATCTGTACCTTGACTTTTTTTTTTTTTCAAATGGCACTCAGTAAGTCGTGATCCTGTGACCTTGAAGGTGTTACATTGCTCTGAAGAACAGCAGGTCCAATAAGAGCAAGACTGACATCCTGCCTGAACCTCTGTTGTGATCTTATTCATACAGCTGACAGTGTTGCAGCTTACATGCTCATTGACCAGAGCAGTGTCAATTGAAAATAATATAACAGCACGTACCAATTATAGGATCTATGTGGGTATGGGGTAGCTTGTACCCAGCTGACTGAAGTGACCAACACCGCCCTTACTGTTGTTCTATTTTTCTGTAAAAACTGGCTGGTTTATTCAGGAACTCCACTTTTCCTAACTGTCTTGTCCATAACATCATTGCAGTAAACAGTAGATATCAGGTGAACTTTCTTATTGTCAGGTCAGGTAATGGCCAAGATGACTTTATCCTTTGTCACATAAAACAGGATGATCTGCCTTTCCCAGTTTCATCTGCTTTTTCTTCAAAAAAATCACATCGGCACACACCCAATTGTGCCTGACATGGCACCTTGCTGTTCTTCATATGGAGGAAGATTGTCAAGCTTAACAAGTTCATTTTGAGCAGCCTTTCTCTGTTTACAAACAGCATTTTCAGCTGTAGAAATAATCTGGTCTCTTGTGCCACATCCACTTTATTTCAGGTGTACCTATGTCATCTCCACCATCAAGTCTATTTCGCTGTTGCTACTTTCAGTTGCTTTACGACGATAACTTTCACTGGTGTATCACTGCTTAGCCAAGAATCATCGCTTTTAGCGCTACATTCGCTGGCTGATTTGGAATCATCAATACTACAGATCTGGTTTTCATCAGACATGATAAAAAGGCTGAATATGCGCTGGTAACAAAAATTATCAAAATTTCACTGAAAACGTTTGTATCAGCTTAAAGCGATATACCGATCGTAGGTGCAACCATTTTTTTTAATAATATAAAAATACCCGGATGAAGCTCAATTTGAAAACTATCACTAAGGTCGTCCGTTTGCAGTCTACATGTCATAAATTTGATGATTGTCGAAGTTGGTCACCAAGGGATATGGCCGGAAATTCAACGATCGTCGAAGTTTATCAGGAAAGTGTTAATACATCTTCCATCTGATGTTATCAGGGCATCCAAGTACCTAAACATATCAACTTGCTTGAGGATTGTCCCATTTACTTTGATGCTGCATTTAGGAGGGTCCATTTTCTTTGTAATTTCTGTTTTTATGCTGTTCAAACTTAAGACCCTTGTTTTGGATTTTCTGTTGCAATATATCTATCATTTCTTGCAGTTGTGTTTCATTTTCAGAGATCAAAACTATATTGTCAGCATTCTTAGCATATTATGAATGGAACCCTCCCATAAATATAATAACTATTAATTCACTTAAGATGTTTATAATTTGGGAATTATATTTCCAAACCATTCATATAATTTTATGTAAGTGCGTTCATGAGAAAATAACTGATGTAGAAAACACTTGAACAGACAGACTTACTATGTAAGGCTCTACCAGGACAGTTGTGTCTAAGGCCAACTTTTGTTCCAGCTCAATATCATAGGCCACATAGCACAGTTTTTCTTTCATCATGCGAACAGTTTCAAAATCAGCAGAGTGGTTAAATGCATACCCTCGAAGTAGCAGCAACTGAAAATATACCATGTAATTCTCCAATTAAATAAATGTGGCAGAGAAAAAAAAAGGCTTTGAAACACAGATGGCAAGCTAAACTCATTTTATAGATACTATCTTCAGAGTTGTCTAATATTTTAACTTTCTACTAATAAAGATTAGAGTTGTCTTCCTCTATCTGATGGGATATATACTCTTTTGACTTGCATGTATAGAAAAAAAAATAGAAAAAAGCAGTAAAACCAGAAGTCTTGAAGGCAAATACACACAGAACATCACAGAGTTATAGTTCAGCTTTGCAACACAATATATTAACAGAAAACTACCACAAGAAGCTTAAAAATCACATCACAAGTACAAAGAAACAAATTTAAATTACAAATGTTTAGAACTGATTAAATCATAAATTCTGATGAAACAAAAGCCAGTTATATAAGTTATATAAAACACGGGGGGGGGGGGGGGGGGGGGGGGGGGGGGGGGGGGGGGGTGTTAGAGGTTGGCTGGACAAAATAAAGAGTCAGTAACCGAAAAATCTTGATCATATTAGACAATAACACTTTGAATACTCACAGGAAATAAATGAATAACACATGGTGCACTGAAAGTTAGTCTGTTGTTACACAGAAATGTGGAAGATGAGGCAACACAGAGACAGAAATTCAAATGGTGACATTAAAAGATACACAAGGTAATGAATATGTCTGTGTAACTGACCATACATAACGTTAACCAATATGAATATTCCCACGCCATATCTGTCAATTAAGAACTGAACACAAAACAGTCTAAGAATCAGACATTTGAGCTCTCTGGTGCCTGGAGTAACTGCATCCCTTCATGTTGGGTTCATGACAGTTTTAGCACTGTGAAGTGTTGAAATGCTCAGGTTACAATCAATTACTGAGAGGACTAAACGGTGGAACACGAAGACAATACTATAATAATAAGGACTGCCTGGTCTACATGAGACTTGTGTGACAGGCTATGACCAAACATTTCCTGGTTATTTATTCCCTGAATGACAACCCTCTGCTTTTTGTGAAGACTACAGCTCCTCTATCTTGATGTCCTGTGTTTCACTCTTGCATTCACAGAAATGGTTTTGGTTTGATTAAATAAGTAAACGACCTGTTCCCATGCCTTGTCATATCGGGCATATGGGGCAAGCCCTGCATTTGTAAAGTCCAGTCAGCATTCAGTATGTGATGTGGCTGATAATGTCCTTGAACAGCTCCTGGTACTCATGTTTAGACTGAGACCACCTGGGATTTGTGGAGGACAGAAACTTTCGGCCCACAGGCTAAAGGTGTATTACTCACAGTTCTATCATACTTCCCTCTGATCAAGTAAACACTAGATAACTATACTTGTTTTATGATACATGTTGCTCTCTAGTGAGTTATTAACCCATCAAACCTTAATCAGATATCTTGTAATGTCTCTTCCTGCTATATCCAACCTCCTAGTCAGATGAGGCAATGCAAAACCATCATACACTGGGCAAAAATGAGTCACACCATCACCAGAATCCACAACCACCCCAGTCACAAGACCTGCAATAAAGTGACAACAATTATAAATTGTTCATAATATACTGGAAAGTCACAGATGAAAGTCAACTGTTAATCACATTTTCAACTTGACAGCAAATGGGTCACCACATAATTGCCAGCCAAACCATAGGAAAAGCCCATTGTGGTCTCCTGTTTAAAAAAAAAAAAAAATTAAAACAAAGTGCAGTCTTCACAAAGCCAACAGCATATTAAGTAAGTAAAAGACCCTTTGCCCACCTATGGCACATCGGGCATATGATTCTAAAGTTATATTCTTTTCGGACCAATTGGCACTCGATAGAGTAATATGGTGATTATCCTGCCAGTCACCTTTACTTCCCAGGATTTTACCTGGTACCCATTTTAGTCTGGGTCAACACTAATAGCATACACATGCAATAAATGTATTGGGCGGCCACCAGAAGTGCTAACACAGTCTGCCACCAGAGCAACAGCTCATCATAACAATAATGGAAGCATCAACAAACTGGCAGTTGCGCATGCAATATCCCATGAGTCACCACAGTTCTGTGGCAACAAGCTACTCACCATTTTCTGAATCTCCAGTTGCCAGCATAAAGCGCTTGGGCACAGTCGAAAAGCATTCCAAATTAAATCTGCAGCTCAGTGTTACACCATGTACTTAGCTCAGCAGTTGGGTGACAGAACTATACAAATTCAGTCCACATACAGGGGAGGGTGAAGGACAACAGCTAACTGTGATTTAAAGCCACCTCTAACAACAACAAACTTTTTTTTTAACTAAAACATTTGGCCTGCCTATTATCCATTTCAAATGCCTCTAAAGTCAACAATATCAGTCAGCATGATGGTTACCAACACAAAAAGCTGTACAAGAATTATATTTAATTATGATGTGTTTCTATAACATGCTATCTAACAAGGTTCACAATCTGAGTGAGGTTAATGCTATATCAGAATGGGCAGTTTCAAAGGCTCCAATTGCACATGATGTTACCTTGAGCATACAGTGTGAGAACGGCTTGGATGGCAATGTGAACACTGTGGAACTGGTATTTTTCAAACATCAGCTGTAAGCAAATAAACATTAGGTGCTTTAACCTCACATTGCCCAGATATGCTTACAATATGCATATAATTGTTATCACTCAAAAGAAAAGGGGAAAAGGGGGTGGGGGGGGAGGGAATTTTGATAAAATATGTTATCAGTTAATTTTAATGCTTTGATAAACGATTAAAAAAATACAGAATAATTTAACATTCATTATCATTTAATAATTGTCCCTGTTAACTATACATCACTATAGTTGTTTCCCCTGCGTGTATCTCTGAAGGAAACCCTTCTCTTTCTCTGTACTGTAATTATCACAAGTGCCAAGGCACACGTTTAGAGAGCCAGAGTTAAAATGTGACCGTCAAGTTTAGGTCAGCCTTCTGAGCAAGGGAAAGACCATGCATGCAAAAGATGGATGACATCATGAGCGTTAGAAAAAACAATCACATAATGTATTAGAATGAGCAGACAGATGATCCTTTCATTTCACAACATTCTGTTCAGGTGTCTAAAGGAAGAGAAGAAGATAGTTCAAGCTTTCAGAATGACTTGTTCATGTGAAAAGTGGGTGCCAGGCCCGTAATTTTATCTACCAATTAGGTAGCTAGGTAGTTTGTCCCCTCCAAGATTGTAGACGACTGCAGGATCAACAGCTCAAGGATGAGAATCAAACACAGGTCAATCCCCAAAAACCTGTTCAAACACATGGCAATTATACTGGGACCCTCAACATTTCAATAACAAACCTAAGTCACACTGGACATCACACTGGCTGCTTATATTTCCTATGACATTCCCTGTTCTCAGTTTTAGGCTGGGTAAACCTGGCAGTCAGGGTCAATTTTTCTTCCCAAAACTGGTAGGTGCAGATTTGAACCCAAGAACTTTGGGCCAGAAGGAAAGTGTCTAGCTACTAGGGCTAATATGACTCCTGATAGAGTGGGCACTTCTGCGCAAAAAGAAACAATAAACATTCATCATCAAGTGCCTTGCCCGACTGATGTGAGCGATCATGCCTCTCCACAATCTGCAACTGTGTGTATCAGTTCGTGTGCTGACACCCTTCCAAGCCAATACAAAAAGCTGTGAAAAATCTTCTTGGACTGTCCTACTGTTTCCCTTTCCACAGATCTTTTTAGTGGTTACTATATGTTCCAGTTTCCCTCTTCTTGTAATATGACCACATATACACATAAAAATGATGACTGGTTCTTTCTGTTTGTGATAAGTTGTCTTCGAGCACTCGCCTCATTCAAAATAACTGGGTTGCTCTTTTTAGCTGTCCAAGGAATTCTAAAGATTCTTATGTAAAACCACATATTTGAGGCATCAAGATATTGCTCGACTTGTTTATTGTTAAAAATTCCCAGTTGCATGTTATAACTGGCTGTATATAGCATGAGAGAATTCTTTTCCTAACCTGCAATGACATGGATTTATTGCACAAAATGTTCTTCATTTCATTAAGGCCTGTTCTATTAAATTCTTTGATCTCTGTGATACATCATTTATTGGATGTTATCCATGTGCCTAGACACTTAAAATCTCTACTTGTCCTAAAATAACACCCTAAAGTTTTATTATACATTTAGTCACTATTCTTTTCTTGGAAATCACTATTTCTTTTGTCTTCCCATTAATTAAACTGAGGCTAATTTTATTACTTTCTACCACCACCGTAACCATCAATACCGGTATTGACTGACTTGTCGCTATCAAGACGATGTCATCAGCATAATAAAGGTTGTTTATGTTATGACCACCAACCACAATTCCTTGCATATCCATGACATGACAGATCTCATTAAATATTCATTGTATAAATAAAACACTGTAGAGTGAAAATAGCTGAAACAGAAGAGAGTTTACAGAACCTTAAGAACCAAGTCAATACTAAGTATGAGAAATACAATATGAGGATAAGCATTGATAAGACAGAATCAATGGTAATAGGTAGACAAGAAGAAACCATATCAATTACAGTAAATAACACACAAATAAAACAAACGAACGAATTTAAATATCCAGGGTCATTTTTTACCTCAGATGGAAGAATGGATAGAGAAATCAACATACGATGTGCGAAGACAAATTAGGTTATGGGACAATTAACACAGCTTCTGACGCATAAAAAGATACACCTGTCAACCAAAGCAAATCTCATAAGAACAGGTTTTTTTTACCAACATTATACATTCTTCAATCTTCAAATAATAAAATGCTTTTGTACAGTCAATTAAGCATAAGTAAAGATCCTTCTTTACTTCTATAGCTCTTTCCCAAAAAGATCTGAGGATGTATATGGCACTGTTTGTACAGTTTCCTTCTACAAATCCACACTGTTCTTCACTCATTTTTGGTTTAATCTTGCTTCTTATTCTTCTCATAATTATTTTCAGTAACATTTTTGTCACATGACTAATAAGATTTATGGTACGACAGTCTTTACATTTTAAATTGCTTGGTTTCTTTGGCAGAGCAATAAATATAGATTTTAAAAGGCCATTATAAATGTACCCACTATTTGAAATGTCATTCAACAATTCTGCTATTATTTCAATTCTAAAATATCCCAAAGCTTCGATTTCTTCCAATGTGATGTTGTCTGGCCCATTAACAATTCCTATCAGTAAACTGCTATGAAAGAGGATGACAGATGCTTATCTGGCATTGCAGATCAGCTCATTTTAATTCATTCCACAAAAACATTGCATCCAACTTCAGATCATCTCCAAATCATGTCTTTCTTGGTAAAGGTAATTTAAAAACAAAAAACATCCATTCAATATATTTATTCACAGTACCTGTTAATGTGATGACAAACAACAAATGCTTATTTAAAATTCTAGCAAACACAATATTGTGTTGTTTTTTAAATAATATTACCTCAATCATTTTTTCTCTGTTTTTCATTGGGTTCATAGGAGGTTCTGTGAGTAGAATGCGTGTATTTTTAGTGTCAACATTCATCTTTTGTGGACCAAATGTGTGATCATACAGATGCGTCATGTCCTCCCAGTTGCGAACAATGCCGTTTTCCATGGGATAATTGACCTCCAACATTGAACGCAGCTCACTGGCCTCTTCACCAACCATCAGATCCTGAAACAGAAATGACTGTGTAGAGCAGAGAGGCTACGAAACACTGTAACAATACATTTAATGATGTTTGAATAGACCAATCATCCTGCTCAATCTGTACATTAGATATCAGCACACAGAAATGGCAAGGCGGTGTAAGGCCAACCGAGACTACACAACTATCAAACTGAAACAGTTCTCTCATAAATTAACACAGCACATAGTCTCTGTCTATAAGAACAGACCTTTTAGATGTGTCTGAACCAAGTCAGTTTCACATCAACTAGTCAGATTTATGGCAGCAGCTCTAGTATGGTTGTCTTTAAACGCCATTTGATTGTTTACAAATTCATATCAAAAACCATTGTAAAATCAGTCCATAAAATTATTTATAACTTGACTTTTTTGTTATAATTCATAGGAAATAGTCCAAGCTTTATTCATATTTTGACATCAAAAGCTGTTTTGAAAACAGTACATTTTGTTTCCAAATGATGCAAACACAGTCCCTTAACTGTGTTCCCAACCTTACCCTGCCAGTGTCACAGACTACTGAGAGGCAGAGGGTATTCATGAAAGAAAAAAAAATGCAGTACCATCATCATCATAAACCACTTCTGCCGTTAAGCATCGTAGGGGAGGAAAAATTTGCGATCCAGTGCACGTTGGCATCCACTGGCTATTGTCATGACCTGAAGGTGTATGTAGTGTGTCTTTAATGTCGATCTATATTTTCCGTGGCAGTAGTCTTGCTCTTGTAGCTGATCTTCTGAGACGTAGTGCTTGTGATGGTATTTGATCTTGCTGCATTCTAACGAGATGGCCAAACCACTTGATCCGCTGTTTCTCGATGAATCTAGTACAAGGTGTCGTTCCCACAATTTGCCTGATAGTTTCATTATTCACTAGCTCTCAGATGGCTAGGTTGGTTGCTTTTCTCAGGCATCTTATCTTGCAGGTGGTGATTTTGCATATATGAGCTTTAGATAGTGTTCATGTTTGGCACTGGTAGCTTAATGTTGGAATGAATATGCTATTAATAATCTGTCTCTTTGCACTCATAGTAATGCTTGGATGAATGGTGACAATTGGTATATAAGTGCACTTGCTTTCTGACATCTTGTTCTACTAACTTGCACTGTTTCGGTTTTGTTTGCATTTATCTTCATGTTGTATTTACTGCATGCTGAGTTTAACCTGTTATTGTGGTCTTGCAGTCTATCTTTTTCAGAGTAGAACAAGCTTTGGTGGTCAGCAAAAAGTAGTTCGTTTAATGTGGGTGAATCGATAACTTCTCCTGATGTGTTTACTTAATCATGATTACAAGGGTCTATGTTGTATGTATCAGAACTTGCTTCTTTAGATATTCTGTCTATATAGATGTTAAATAAAAGTTGGAAGAGCACACATCCTTGTCTCACACCTGTGTTGACTGTGAACATCTCTGATATGCCTTCTTGTGTTTTTACTGCACTTTGGCTTGTGTGGTACATGGCTATGATGTTCTCTAGTAACTGTCCCCGTACCCCGTAGTTCTCAAGAACAGACCACAGTTTGTTTCTATCCACTCTATAAAAAACCTTTTCCTGATCTACAAACACAATATTCTGTTTAGTATTATACTCAATGGCTTTCTCACACACTTGCCTCAGAGTAAATAATGCATCTGTGCATCCTCTACCTTTTCTGAAACTGAACTGTGATGCACTCAACTGTTGTTCAGCTATGGGTCTAACTCTGTTCTAGTAATTTGGCGTACATTTTTCCTAGGTGACTCAGTAGTGATATACCTCTGTTTTACATTCTCTCCTATTACCTTTCCTTTTCCATAACGGTACTCTTAGTACATGTTGCCATTCAGCTGGGACTTTTCTTTCTTCCCAAGCTATATTAAAAATTATAGTAAGCCATTCAACACCCACTTCTCCGCATGCTTGGATCCCTTCTGTATTAATTCCACACAGACCTGGTGCCTTGTTTCTGGGGCTGTTCTGTATAACTGCTCTTACTTCCGCTGCTATGATATTTGGTTCCTCTTGTTCGCAGCTTCGAGGTACAAAGTTAAAATTATCTACGTTACCTGTGGGGTTGAAGAAGTTGCCCATCTTGCCAACCTCTGTTGTGGACTAAATAGAGGTATGACTCTTGTTGTTGTTGACAGTTGTTGGGTTGCAGCTTATATCTCTTTCTCTTATGATTTTTACATGTGTATAGAATTCTCTAGGGGAGTTATTGCTGAGGGTAGCCATCTGTTAACCATAATTTCTCCAAGATTCGTCTTTAGATGTTTTAATTTTGTATTTTGCTTCTCTTCTTACTAATCTGTAATGTATGTAATCTTGATGTGATTTTGATTTTAACCATTTTTTATATGCCTCCTTCTTTCTGGATACGCTGTCTTTAACTTCGTTGTTCCACAAAATAGTGCTTAAACGTTTTACACCACCTACCCTTCTGACTCCGCATTTGGTTTCAAGTGTGTTGAGTATAGCCGTCCTAAAACATGTCCACTCTGAATCGATGTCTGGAATATTCGCCTGGAAGGTTATTTAGTAGCCCTGTCATTTCTTGTTGAATCTCATCTTCAACCACATTATCCTGAAGTATCAGTATCATCATAAAGCTAAAAGCCTCTTCTCTCTCCCACCCCACATCATCTGTTTGTATCATTCATTTGTCACACAGAGCATAGAGTGTACTCCTCCATTTCCTTTTATTTAGTGTAATCTTTTCTATATGGATGGGATCCAGTCCAACACCTATGGCTTCTCTTGTTATATCAATAGTCTTTGCAAGGTTTCTCTTGAATTTTCATTTCTTCAATCCATTTGTTTCTTATTTCAGTCAGTTTATGTTTGGGGAGTATCTGATCTGATCTCAGAGTGTGTCCATTGTAGTTTCTAAAGCAGCATTGTTTTGCAGGATGGGGAAGCAGGCATCTGCCAAATTAAAATCTTCACTAGCAATCCCCCCTTACCTTTTCAAATAGAACTAACTGCCCTAATGACGTCAAACAACTCTGCCAGAAAATAAAAAGGTGGATTTAAACTACATGAAATAATTATAACACAGCAGAGAATCTTAAGTACTAAAAAAAAAAAAAAAAACAGTTACTCACTTTGATTTCAATATCTCCTACTTTTGTGGTTGATCTGATCATTGGTCTTCCAACAAGAGAAGGAAAAATGAAAGCGGGAAAGTTGGAGCCAGCATATCCACACTTGACAAACTGAAAAATATCAATAACATTTTAGAGGTAAAATGTTTATCAAAGACCCAGTTTACAATAATCTGTTAAGCATAACAAAAACAAATATACACACACTAAAAAAAACAAGTAATGTATAGTTAGCTGATGGTGAATGCATTAGTTAGTGAGTAAAATTGTGTACTCGGATAAGTAAAAAGTAGACTCAAATGTTTACAGTGTCAAATGGACATGTTAGCAGGAGTATTTGTAATCATTACAGTACATATATCATTGTGTATGATCATATTTTTAGGTATAACTCCTGATGTGCACATGAGAGAGAAACAAAATCTGGTGTGAATACTCTTTCACTGACTGCACATCTGAAACTCTATATAAGAATAATGCAACACCCCAATTTAGTTCATTTTCACGCAGACATCTCTATCGATACATTTAAGCAACACTGCAGACAGGCAAAAGTCAAAGTCAGGCATCTAAACGTGCATCTGAGTACCATCAGTTGACTCTGGCACCGGTTGCAAGCCACTGACTTAGTTAAAGATATCACACTGAAGACTTAGAGTGATATAGCAGCACGGGATTGTATTATTCTGCTTCATCACTTTAGAAAGAGGTTTTCAACAGCTTCCTTAACTGTGCAGTCATTGCCTCCAGGACGTCATGTGATATACACAGTACACATCATACCTTGAAAATGTGGAAAGTGGAGACCAAAGACTGAATGGAGGCCTAAGAAGACTGCATGAGTACTGCCAAAGATGGAAACTCAAGGTTAACTGTGCAAAGACGGTCTACACAGTCTTTACCAAAAGCCCCAAGTAGCAAAGAAGAATATTAACCTGAGGTTAGACAAACACCAAGTGATGAAAGAAGAGCATCCCACATACCTTGGAGTCACACTTGACCGGCAGCTCAGCCTCAAGAACCATATTGAAAACATCAGGAATAAGGCATTGAGGCGGTTACAGTTATTAAAGAGACTTGCAGGTACATCATGGGGATCAGACAAGGAAACTCTGAGGGGCTTATATCTAGGATATGTTCGCTCTGTGATAGAGTACAACAACTTACTGCTTACTAGCTCCAAAACTAACCTAGAGACTCTTGACAGAGTAAAAAATAATGCCCTCCGATTAATCTGCGGAGCTATGCAGTCTACACCAACTGCTGCATATTAAATCCATACAAATGTGGAACCCCTCGGGTTGCGGAGAGAAATAAGGCCACTTTAGAAATTTATGAAAGATGCGTTAGAAAAAATCGTAACCATCCTAATAGACATCTTGTAGAAAACTGGGAATACAAACAAAGAATAAAGCACAAATCGGTTTTACACTGTGTTAATGAAATTCAGGACAGATACCACCTCCCAGAAAGACGTCAAGGAATTCAGAATGTTGCAAGAAACCTACCACCACATGCTCGCTTTAAAGCTCCAGAAGTCTGAATTAAATTGGTAGGCGAGGAAACCAAACAGTCCGACCCAACCGCTCTTATGAACTCATCACTAAAGACCGTTGATTCTTACCCCCAAGAATGGATACATGTCTATACTGATGGATCAGCATTTAAAGCTACCATTAAAGCAGGTTACAGAATCTACATAGGTTATCCCGATGGATCTGTTGAAGAGATTTTTGATGCATGCGGGGAATTCTGTTCAAATTATGAAGCTGAAATAATTGCACTGGAAACAGCAGTATACCACCTAAAGACTGTAATGGATGTTTACCCTTCAGAGGTCCAAAATGTTGTCATCTTCACAGATTCAATGTCTGCCCTTCAAGCTCTGTAGGGCAGTGAACGCTGCAGAACTGATATAGCCAAGATAATCCTGGATGCTGATCAGCTTATTACCTCATACAACATCAGAATAGTGATGCAGTGGATTCCAGGTCACTCTGGCACACCAGGTAATGACAGAGCTGACAGATTGGCAAAGAAAGGAGCAACACAAGAATAACCACCTACAGCGACAACCCTCCAGACAGCAAAAACACTTATAAGAGCTATAAACAAAGAGACTTGGTTGAACAGATGGGCCATGGGAGACACTGGAAGAGAGGTTTATAGACATATGGCTGGCCCTGATCCTAATGACAGCATTAACCATCTAACAAGAAGGGACCAGGCCACCATCTTCAGACTTAGAACGCAACATACTCCACTCAATAGACATCTAAACAGAATACAGCCACAACACTCCCCAGAGTGCCAGCTATGTAACTACCCCTACAAAACTGTTGAACACCATCTCTTTGAGTGCCCAAAACTCAGTGAGACAAGAGGAATGCTACTCCCTCCGAGACCAGACAAGTGGAACACCTTGTACGGAGGAAAAGAACAGCTTGTGAAAACATGCAAATTCCACTACATGGCATTGGGCCAAAGGGCGAAAGCTCATGCGCCGCTGGATCGATAACAACAACATCATACCATATTACAATAAATCTGTTTGATTTTATGCTGCCCTACCACACACATAAAAAAGATAGTAGCAGTCAACAAAATAATATTAAGCTTCTGTTTCAATACGTTAGCTGCTACCAAATAAGAAAGTTTCAATCAAAAAGACAATAAATTACTGTTTGTTAATAGAGATTTGGTTGACAAATTCATTTGTATCATTGAGTTTTAGTCACACTTTTATGTTTATTTAGTTTCCACTATGAAGATGAGAAATCGTGACTTTAATTTTCTTGTTTCATATGTAGCTTTGCACCTTTCTAAAACTGTTGCTATCAGTAAGATGACTATAACAAAAAAAACTGATGATTAGGTCAGAATGAACAAAGCGGTACATGCTGAGGTACATGATGAAATAAAACTGTGCTGGAGATAGATGAGCACTGACAATGTTGCATAAACTATAACTTGTAATAAATTGTTTATGCAGTCAATGGACTTGTAGAATTATTCAACAGTAAAGTAGAAACCAACTAAACTGTCCACCGCAACATCACGAAAATATGAAAATGCAGGGAAAAGAACAGGAAGGAAATACAAACAATTCAAACACCCTTACCATTTTTGTACTTCCTTCTTCTTATATTTGTGAATTTTGACACCAATTCCGAATAACTTGCATGTTTATATTTAAAATAAAAATGAAAGTGAAAGGTATTGAAAATACTTATACTTGTGTATTACAGCTATTACGTTATATCCGCAGACATAATAAACAAACGTCCCGTCCGTGTTGATATCAGTTGACAAAATAATTCTACATGTTGTAGACTACGCTAGTCTTGTCTACACTTCCCACGCCCCTTTTTATTTTTTTGGAAATTCATGCTCCTATCGTCCCTCGTGAAGTGTAACAAAGGAACACTAATGTAATGAAGAAAGGCTACAGCAAATTTAAACAGACTATTCCCTGTCAATAACTATTTGAAGTATATATTATCAAGTTGTGGTTATTAAACTGTATGGCGTCAATCACGTTTCCTCTTGTGTGTTGTGTTACTCATCAGATCAGATCAGTCTGTCACGAGAGGACGATGTTGCGATGGTTTACAAAACTTCCGGGTTTATATTATCATTAAAACTGTTCCACACAAATTAAATCACTTACCCCTGTTCCATTGTCACACACGATCACTTTTCGTCCTTGGGAATCCATAGTGGACTGAAGGAGAAGGGCAGTAGAATAAGCAAAATATTAACTAGAACGACAAACGGCTTGACACGACCGGTCTAACTGTTCAGCCATAGACCAGCTTCTTCAGTGGCCAGGTACACCATCCGTGCACAGTTTCTCGATGTGTCGCCCAAAAGACGCTCCCATCAAATGGTTTTGATTTGGGGATTAAAAATGGAGGGGTTGGGGGGGGGGGGGGGGGTTAGGCGAAGATCTATGCCAACTTGCTTTAAATAATATGTTAAATCAGAGGAAAGTCAGGACGGACACACAGATTGCTACTGGTGCCACAGGAACTGGAACTCTGCACTAACTGCTGGAGATGGGACTGGGCGCTTATGAGATAGTCCCGAGTTGTGTGTTGTTGGTTCTTAACTCAGATATGTTGATATTTGTCTTTTGTTGTCTTTAATATTGTCTTAGTTTTTGGAGTAGCAGACCATCTAATTTGTAGGGTTACATTCTTAACTAATCGAAGGATGCAGTGGCGTAGCAAAGTCAGGTGGTACCCGGTGCGCGGAAAAGTTCACCCCCCCCCCCTCTCCCCCCACACACACACACACACACACATATCTATTTTTTAAACACTTTTTGCCATTCTGTCACCCTCTTAGTAATGACACTGGTGGCGGCCCGCACCCCCCCCCCCCTTTTTTTTTTCCACCTTCCCTCCTTTTGTCCCTACGCTACAGAAAAGATAATGCCCTTTTTTCCTTGTCTAGTAGAATATTAAATTAAGGATCAGCGTCATAGCATTCGAGACATTCCCATAATAGCGTCCGTCCCCATCTTCAGCAGCAAGCGAAGTGTTTCAGTTCCGATGGCACCAGTAACTGCCTAATTGTATATCCGTTACGCCTTTCCCTTGAATGTTGATCGTCGGCCAGATCCCCTAGTAACTCCTTACAGTGCCATTCTCCCAAGACCGTAATGATCTATTTGTGCCTTAGCACTGTTCACTCGCTAACAAAAGACCATCACAACATCCAACTTGTCCTACATCAATTTTCCACCAAGTGGTGCAAAACCAGTCAGTCTTTCTGTCTTCTCGTTTGCATCACCTGAAGAAAATATCCAAAGGTCGTTAACTATCAGGGTGTGAAGCAATACCACTCAACACAGAGCCATCTGATAATCACATCACCTAGGCGGGAATTGTCATGAATCTGTTGACATTCTGAATTGTACCTCAGCCAGCCAGTCCCTGTATTCACGACCTGAAGTGAATAGAGATTAGAACTCTACACAAGTCTTATTTCTCCTCGGACACTTTGACCCACTTCTCTGTTCGCCCACATTTACCAAGCCTGCACACATAAGTAATTGGGTCTTCAGATTGCGCCATTATAGAGTCGGCCGTATGCCATCCAAGATCTTCCTCTGTTCAGTCTGTGACCCAGGGCTTCATGCAGGGGGCGCTTCTTGCGTGTGCGCACGTGTGTACTTTAATGCAACATAAATCTGTTTTTAATTTCACCTGATCGGTCTCATTTTCTGATTTAGTCAGGCATATAGTGCTAAACCCACATTGTCATAAATCAATCGACCCTAATTGGACTATATGGATAACCTCACTTCTGCCTCAACCTCTCATGACATTTCCTGATGCAAATTTTAGAGTATATCAGACAGGAAAGGCCACACAGTTCATCTGCAAACACCCACACCCATGCAGATTTGAACCTAACCCTTCAGACCTGCAGGCAAGCGTCTAGTTACTGCTCTACCTTGAATCTGTCTTCCCTCTCTCAGTTTTTAAACTCATTATCAAGCAACTAACTGGCCACTTGTTTATTGGTCACTCCTGATATAAAATACCTGTCTCATCTCTCTCTGTCTTACCTAGTCCTTTATAAGTACGAGTTAGTTATTTCAGCTAACGATTGTTTTCAACCGAAAAAATTACTGTTTAATGCAGGAAAAGAATAATTATGTTTTCATGCTTCAGCGTCATCAGTTATCTATGTTAATGAATCTCTCTCTCTCTCTCTCTCTCTCTCTCTCTCTCTCTCTCTCTCTCTCTCTCTCTCTCTCTCTCTCTCTCTCTCTCTGACACACACCAACGTCTCTGACGTTTAATTGCAACCAAATATTAGACTCCTGATTCGCCTATATCACCAAGCCATAGATATTTAACCAACGAGAAGACATGACAGTCTAATTTTACGTTTGCTATTTGCTCAGAACGGCGTTGCCAAATTGTCTATGCTTTCATTGCCAACTCATAGAAACATTTTCGTGAATTAAAATTCACACTTGTTAGCTGGTAAATGGTTGGTTTATACGGTAGACCGAATCCCTTCCAGCATAGGTTCACCGAACGTTCTCATTTTTATTGGCATAACTTGTTCCTCTGTTAGACACGTTTATTTAGCTTAGTAGACTATATATTCATACTAGATCTCTTTAGGGTGGTATTAAATTGCTAGTAGTGTGACTGTTAGTATTACCTACATAACAGGGAAATACTGCCGTCTGAAGTTTCATGTGTCACACATTAAACTGTGAACATGTCTCCAGAAGTTAGCCCAACACAGTGTTTACAGTAGCAGCGCTCTACCTGTCCTATTCAATGTCACCTTATATTGCTACCTGTGCAGCAGAAGAATGCGTCTCTGTAATAAGCCAGGACTTGTGGAATGTATTGTAAATTCTTCATCCTCACTGTAGCAAATACATTTGTGATTCTGAAACATGGATTTGTATGTTAGTTTACTATGTTCGCTTTCTCTAGAATAAATAGGACACATGACTGTCATATTTCCTGCTAGGATTGTGTGTTTGTTTTAATGAAGGAATAATTGATATGCTCGCTTTATTTGACGTGATTAAAATGCTAGATACGTCGATTTTTTTAATAACAACAAATTACTGATATGTAGATATATATATTTAACAGTGCGGTTATTTTGTTATATATTAACAACATTTGTATCAGAAACAGCTGCAGTGATTTATGAATACACACAGTAAGATATACATAATAGGTTTGGAAATGTGGTTTATTTTAAGTGCGCTTGCGTACAACAGTATTAGATCCGTGTGGGTTCTGGGACCCCCGTGGGGGTGAGGGAAGGGGAGGGAGGCAGAGACCCAATGCCCCACCCGACAAGCATGTCGCAAAAGTTGAATAACTGGGGGGGGGGGGGTGGTGGTGTTTCTTTTATAATCGGGGTGCATTTGCCTGAGAGGTGCGAAAACAGTCTGCATAGAAGTAAGCGATGTCTGCCAAACGTGTGTACACGCAAAATGTGTAAGGATAACAGGATTAGCGGTTGACTGGATGGCGCGACCGAAGGTATCAACCGAGAACTAAATTAAAGACGGTCAATGCCAGCGGTTTTCTGCTGGCCTTATTTCCAGGGTGTCGCCAACACAAAATATAGGCTTCACTTGAATGTTCCTAGTGTTTCAATCGTATTAAACCAGGTGACCTGACTTTGCCAGCACACACGACTTGGGTGTAAAACATCGGACGTGTTATGTGTTTAGTGTAGCACATACGAGTTGGAATATATCGTCTTCTATTTCGCGTTTTTAACCCTCCCCCACCCTATAATCTCGTAGCAGACAATACAGCAACAAATAAAACGATCATGAAAATTGCGAGTATATTAAAAACACATATTCCGCAACATCAGTATTGCTCTTGATATTGTTCACTTGGACTAGAAAAGAGTATATTCACTGTTCAATCAAATATGTGCAGTTACGATGATGTACATATTTATAAACTACGTGTGTTCAGTTGAAAAACTATTCATTATGCAAGTGATATTTTGAACTGACTCTTGTGGGTGCATAATTATTTCTTCAGTGCGATAGACAGCATGATTTTCGCAGTTGCTCGGACATTGTTTTTTGGAGCTTTGGTCACTGTTGTTGTTCCAGTCGGAGCTCAGTGCGATCCTAGCCACGCTGTTGTTGCCGTTGCAAGTGTATTGTCCACTCTGGCAGTTGTAACGATTGTCCTTATTGGAGTATATTTTTTCTTGAACAGAAGAAGGCAAGGTATATTGTTTCTTTTTTTTTTTTTAAACTGTGTAAACATTCTTTTGAAACATGACCTTCGATAACAGGAGGGTAGTGTTTTCATTCATTTTCGATCTGACGGCAGCCTCTACAATGCTCGGGGACTGAAAGCCAAAATCAGAATAAGGAAGGTACTTATCAGAGAGCTGCTTTTTGCAGATGATGTAGCAGTTTCAACTCGCTCAGATGAGGAGCTGCAATATTTACTATCTGTATGTGCTTATGCATGCTGTGAGTTTGGACTAACAATCGGCTAAAAGAAGACACAGACACTATGGTAAAAGGTGCTAGTCTACATTGATGGTGAAGAGTATGAGAAAGTTGTCCATATAACATATCTGGGATATTAGTTAGTTAGTTAGTTATTCCTCTTGTGCCAAAGATGGCGCATAGGGCAGAGGTCATAGCTTTCCACGTCTGTCGGTTCGTTGCCACTTGATGTAGGTCTTGAGTGCGACTGAGACCTATGGTTGAGCTCTCTCTTGTGATGGTTCTACGGAGAGTTTCTTTTGGTCTTCCCTGTTTTCTTTTACCCTCTGGTGACCATATGAAGGCTTGGTGGGGAAGTCTCTGAATGTCCATTCTGAGTACGTGACCGATGTAATTCCAGCGACGCATTCTAATAAAATCAGACACAGTGAATAAAAAACTATCACTGGACTAAGACATTAACATCAGGGTAGGTCAAGCAGCAACAACAATGAGCAGTAACAAGAAAAACTAGGGACAACAGAAAGCTGTCAATTAAAACAAAAACTCTTGTCTAATAGACTTGTGTTCTCCATATTCTTCCTTATGCAAGTGAAACATGGTCAACTTATTCACACCTGGAGAAACGGCTAAATGGTAACTGGTTTTCACGTGCGATGCCTAAGAAAAATACTTGGCATTAAGTGGCAAGACAAGATCACAAACACCGAGGCACTGGAAAGGCAGGTATTACAAAAGTG